TTACAGACAACTTTGATTTTCTCTTTAGTACATCACTGGAAAATAAATCGGGTTGTGGGAATTTTCTCATAAATGAACCTGTAATCATTCAGCCCTGCAACAAAGGAAACATTTCTAAAGATTACTGTTGTTTTCTCCCAAATCCTAGCCCTCATTTTCACTACCAAACATTCAGGCAGAACTATTTCAAGTTCATATAGTGCTGAGACTGAAGTGTCAAAATTGTTCTTGTTGAATAGCTGCCACCCGTATGCAGTGGTACCTCAGGTTACATACGCTTCAGGTTACAGACACTTCAGGTTACAGACTCCGCTGACCCAGAAATAGTACCCTGGGTTAAGAACTTTGCTTCAGGATGAGAACTGAAATCGTGCTCCGGCGGCGCAGCAGCAGCGGTAGGCCCCATTAGCTAAAGTGGTGCTTCAGGTTAAGAACAGTTTCAGGTTAATGTTCCATTTAACATTTGTTTAAAAATCCCGAGGCATTTTTGTTGGGGATTATAGGGAAAGACCTGCCAAAAAAGTTGAAAAACATCTTCATGTATGCGACAACAGCCACGAGAGTTCTGGTAGCACAAGGATGGAAGACTGAAGAAATCCCAACTAAAGAATCATGGCAAGAAAAATTGATGGACTATGCAGAACTGGCAAATTGACATATAAACTACGAAATAAGGATAACTGTGACTTTAAGGATGAATGGGAACCTTTCACAAAGTATTTGAAGACGCAACAATGCGAACTGGACTCCTTGGCAGGTTTTGAATAAACATTCACAATTTTTTTACTGATAATAATTAGCTAAACAGTTGGAGGATCTATACAACTCTGTAACATGCAGAAAATAGCATTATTGGAGAAACCAAAGACTGGAACTGAGGGAAGTCGGGGTGGGGGTGGGGGGATGGGTTTTATGGGGGGAGGGGGGAAAAAATGGGGGGGGAACCGATATGTTTTTGGAAAATATGTTTTGTTATAACTTTGAATAAAAAATTTATTAAAAAAAAAAGAACAGTTTCAGGTTAAGAACCTACCTCCGGAACGAATTAAGTACTGTATTTTTCGCTCTATAAGACACACCAGACCATAAGACGCACCTAGTTTTTGGAGGAGGAAAACAAGAAAAAAATTATTCTGAATCCCAGAAGCCAGGACAGCAAGCGGGATCGCAGCTTGCTGTCCTGGTTTATGGGATCACAGGGCACAGCCTCTCCCAGGCAGCGGCATGAATTCTCCCCCTGCCCTGGTACCTGGCTGGTACCTGTATATTTCTTTTGGGGTCAGTTTGAGGTACGTATCTGTTTATCTTTGTGGATGTGGCTTTTTCTGCCCCTCCTTGTCCCCAGTGATGGTGAGGGAATCTGCTTTTTCATCATCATCAAACCTTTTACTGGCATCACATACAAACATTCATAGCTAATCAATACAGAATTCCTGCCTTCCAAGTGACACAAAACATTTGGAGTCTGCTTTTTCAGTGTTGGAATTCTTGTAACCAAACACACTTAATTTCTGCTCTTTTGCTTTCATGTTATTTGTTCTGACATTTGATTTCTGTAAAGTGTTGGCAAGAATGTAATAATACATTGTACACAAAATGGAGTATTGCTATTTTTCAATATGCATTTATTTTAGCATTCATATATATATGTATAATTTAAACCTGACACTTTAATTACTTTCAAAACCATGCCCAAAGAAAGGCTATATCATATTATATGTCCATTACATAATTAGATATGCAATTGGATAAGTAATTTGCAGTGCTATCATGTCTGAGTGGTCCCCTCACCCCATGATTTTCTTGCACTGGACCACATGAGGTAGTTGCGTGGCGAGCTCCCGCCTCCCACCAGTAAGAATAATGACACGTGACACAAATATTTAGGTTAATGGGCTAAAATAGGCCACAACTTTATTGGTTACAGGTAAAGAGCAGTATTGGCTTAGGCATTGGTCCTATTCGACTATCCGGCTTCAGCCTGTTTGCTTGAAGACCGGGAAGGGTTAGCACCAGCAGGGGGGAGCCCTGCTGATGCACATGAACTAGGGACTCCCCCGGGGTCACCGCTTGGGGGCACGCTTTAGGCCCTGACCTCCATAGGCTTCGGACGAGGCCACGCCCCACGGAATCCTTCACTGGACTACCCTTCGATATTTTAGGGGAGGTGATGGCGCTACTCCCCCCAACACATCTACATAACAATACCCCTACCAATGCCTAACCGCCAAAACGAAAGAAGTTGTGACGAGAGGGAGATCCCGGGCCCTGCTTGCCTTAAATGAGGCAAGCCGCACCCCCTGAGCCAGCCGATTGGCTGGCCAGGGGATGACGCGGCCCGAGGATTCCAATGATTGCGCGGGGCTGGAAGCCAGCTTCCGCGCGTGTGTTGGGGGCGTGAAGCGCACCACCACCACCACCACCACCACAACAACAACAACACCTCCTCCTGAGGTCGGAAGTGGCTTTGTCCTTCACTTAGTATTCCAGAACAATGTAGCTGCCAGGCTGATTTTCCTTCTCTCAAAAGTATGAAATATCTGAAGAAAGGTCCAACCTGATTCAGTACTGTGGAAGGGGTTGGCTGCAACTCTACTGTATGGTGTGGTTGGGAGGGAATGGTCTGAATGGTGTCCATTTTTCAGCACCTTTTCCTCACTTCAGTCTGAGCAGAGCAAGCAAGCTGTTACCTGGAGAGAATGGGAATGGGAGGCAGTATTGAAAGAAGTTACTGGATTAATTGGTGTGAGTGTGTGTCTTTGTGTGTCAAGGAGGACTTCCCCTTATGCGAAGACAGGCTGCGGTGGATTGAGCTGATGAGACCAATACTGGCTTCAACAGCCAAGAAGGCCGTTTCTGCCAGAGGAGTCTCTTTATAGCTGGAAGTGTGAGGGCCTGGGCCTTGCCCCCTAGGCCAGTTGGTAAAGGCTTTGTAAGGGAGCAGGCCTTGCTGTCCTCACCACAGCCGATGGTGGCCCTTGGGTCCTTTTCAACTCTAAGATTCTATGGTTCCAACAACAACAATGGGAAAAAAGAACCATTCATACAATGCTGCTCAAAACGTAGATTCCCAAGACAGTGACCAGTGACTAGCAATGGAGATTTTAGGTGCTGCTTAGAACATAAATACAGTGGTACCTCAGGTTAATCGTGCGCCGCCGGAGCACAATTTCTGTTTTCATCCTGAAGCAAAGTTCTTAACCTGATACACTATTTCTGGGTTAGCGGACTCTGTAACCTGAAGTGTATGTAACCTGAGGTACCACTGTACAAGAGGATAGTGGTCAATGGTTGGGTTGTATTACTTTCTAGAGAAAGCAATGCCAAATCTGGATCCATTGCTGAGGTTTGACGCACGGTAATAGAAATTAGATTGAACACCTGGGTCCAGAAGTCATTGAGAATGCAAATACTGCCATGAAATCATTTAGTATCCTCTGCAAAGGAAAAGGGGCTTAGCTTGGATTATGGAGCATCAGTAAGATATAATCTGTGAAAATGTTCAGTTTCATCTCCTTGAACCCTGATGTCTTCAGTGCCTTGTGAGATGTTAGGTGTTGTGCTAGCATTTTACTTGTAGAATGAAATTTCCCTGCCTATATGACGATGGGTGTGGCTTACCCCAGAGCCATTTGTCCTGTACGCTATTTTTATTTATTAAACAATATTCACACACCACTTAATCATAAAGACCTAACTGCGCTTTACACAGAAACAATCTGTAATGTTCATCATGAGAAAATAAAAAATGGAAAACAAGTAGATGTAACAAAATGTATCGATATAGAGATGAAGTCAACAGCTTTAGAAAAAAAATACACCGAATAAAATTATATGTATTGTTAATTATTACTTGTAGATTCTAACAACTCCCATTGATAATAAGAAGGTTGATTGATTTTATGTTTTGAAACACCGTAGAGATAATATCTGGTGGGATTTATAAACTTGTTTACATCATTCCATGCTCAATAAAAACATCATAAAAAGGATATTGTGGCAAGTTGGTGTCATTTGGAAGAGCTCAACATCCATCGTGCTTCCTTGTAAGTCTATTGTGGTTTAAGGTTCTGCAGCTTTGATTTGAATTCATTCATTCAGCCCTTCCGATGCTCTTGTCTTTGCCACTTTGAAGGGATATAAGAACAATTTCAAAGCACCTGACTCTTTTTTATCTTGGCCACAAGATTCATACTCAATAGCAGAGTTACTGTTTTTCATACAGAAGGCTCCAGATCCAATATTTTTCCAAAAGAGTATGAGGTAGCTTAGCAGGACTAGTGAAGACATCAACCTGAGATCCTGGAGAGGTGCTACAATTTGGAGTAGACATGTATGACTCTTTAAAAGGCAGGTTAAGATAGGCTTCCTCCTCAGTTTTCTAGTGGTGTTCAGAGTTATGTCTTGTGATGCTGTTAATTTTGCAATTGACAGGAATATTGTGAAGCCTCAAACTCTTCAGCTCACTTGCCTCTGTGCTCCTTCATCAGTTTGTGGGCTGTAGCCAGACATCCATTCACAGTGGAATTACATCAATTAAAAGAATACAGAATTTTAATCTATGGTGATGAACTATGCCAAAATGTTGTCTGATTGCTAAAATTTTAGTTCTATGGAAAATGCAGTTTTGTAAACTGGCTCTAATGCCTCACTAACCTGGGAGCAGACATTCCCAGGATTCCTCGAAAGGGAGATATCAGACATTCAACTCTGCAGTGTAGACGTTGGTAAAGTGAATGTAATAATATGTCCATGGGGTGACACAATTATTTTGCTGGTTGCACAATTGTTGTGCTAGGCTCTGTCTACTGAGGCCGGCTCTACCATTGGGCAAGTGGAAGCAGGCAGTTCTCAGTCAGCTGTATGGAGTGATGTTTAAGGCACATCAAATGGCTTGTTCTTTAATTTGTTATTATTGCATTTTTTCAGTCCTGTTATACATTTTGTGTTTTTATGTTGTAAAGTGGCCTGTGATAGTCAGCTGAAGGGCGGTACATAAATCTAATAAAGAACAAAAAATAAATAATCATTTTATGAACAAGCCTCTCCCCCAGTATTTTTCTATAAAGCATCAGCGGACGGGCATTGTTGCAATCGGTAACATCTTTAAAGCTTATTTTCAGATGCTGCATCAATGGGAAGAGAAAATCAAACAGTGGTGACAGAATTTATTCTTGCTGGATTTTCGAATTTCCCAGACCTGCAGGTTCCGTTGTTTCTGGTGTTCTCTCTAATCTACCTGGTAACTTTGATCGCAAATATAATCATCATCACTACGATACGGCTTGACCGCAGCCTCCACATCCCCATGTACTTCTTCCTCTCCATTCTCTCCTTCTCAGAAACCTGCTACACACTCGTCATTATTCCCAATATGCTTGCAAATTTTCTGAGAGAGAAGAAGACCATTTCCTTCATTGGCTGTGCTACTCAGATGTGCATTTTCCTGGGCTTTGCATGCACAAATTGTATGCTTCTAGCAGTGATGGGGTATGACCGATATGTCTCCATATGCAAACCTTTACGTTATCAGATTTTGATGAATCAAAGTGTCTGCACCAAACTGGTGGCTTGTTCAGCAACAACTGGATTTCTTTTTTCCACCACAGAGGCTATAATCATATTTACCTTGCCTTTCTGTGGACCAAATGAAGTTAAGCACTTTTTGTGTGATTTAGCACCTTTGCTTGAATTAGCCTGTGGCCGAAACTACATAGGAGAAATTGTCATTAACATTATTTCTTTTGTGGTTGTAATTTGTTCATTCTCGTTCATCCTTCTCTCGTACATTTTAATTGCAAACACTGTCTTGAAAATCCCCACAACGGCTGGGAAGCGAAAAGCCTTTTCCACTTGTGCCTCCCATCTTATTGTGGTCGTGGTGCACTTTGGGTGTGCTGGCATTATCTATTTAGGGCCCAAATCCAGTTACACGCTAGATGAGACGACTTTTATTACTGTCTCTTACACAATGGTGACTCCATTGTTGAACCCCTTAGTGTACAGCCTGAGAAACAAAGATGTTCAAATAGCGCTTAAGAAATCGCTTGGCAAAAGCTCCTGCACCCAAAGAATGTGAAAATTAAACGTTATCCACTTTGAAGAGGAATTATGAAACCCAATAAATACTGTATCTGTTGTTTAATGGACAAAGAACGCCTCAAATAGTATTGTAGCTTTTTCTCATCTCTTTAAAAATTCATTTGTATATGAAATATTCACTTGGCAAAATGTGGCCTTGCTTTAGCATTTACAGACAACTTTGATTTTCTCTTTAGTGCATCACTGGAAAATAAATCGGGTTGTGGCAATTTTCTCATAAATGAACCTGTAATCATTCAGCCCTGCAGCAAAGGAAACTTTTCTAAAGATTGCTGTTGTTTTCTCCCAAATCCTAGCCCTCATTTTCACTACCAAACATTCATGCAGAACTATTTCAATTTCATATAGTGCTGAGACTGAAGTGTCAAAATTGTTCTTGTTGAATAGCTGCCACCCGTATATTTTGGTTGGGTTCAGTTTGGGGTACATTTCTGTTTATCTTTGTGGAGGTAGCTTTTTCTGCCCCTCCTTGTCCCCAGTAATGACTATTTTTAAGGAGGGAATCTTTTTCAAAGTTGGAATTCTTGTAACCAAACACACTTAATTTCTGCTCTTTTGCTTTCATGTAGTATGTTCTGACATTTGCTTTCTATAAAGTGTTGGCAAGAATGTAATAATATTTTGTACACAAAATGGAGTATTGCTATTTTTCAATATGCATTTATTTTAGCATTTAGCATATATATATATATATATATATATATATATATATATATATATATATGTTAATCCTGATACTAATTACTTTCAAAGCCATGCCCAAAGAAAGGCTATATCATATTATATTCCCATTACATAATCAGATATGCAATTGAATCATTAATTTGCAGTGCTATCGTGTTTGAGTGGACCCCTCACCCACCGCTTTTCCTGCATTGTTGTTAGCCGCCCTGAGCCCAGCTTCGGCTGGGGAGGGCGGGATATAAATAAAATTTATTATTATTATTATTATTATTATTATTGGACCACATAATGTTTTTGTCCTTCAGTTGGCATTCTAGAATAATGTAGCTGCCAGGCTGATTTTCCTTCTATCATAAAGCACACAATATATCAAGAAAGGTCCAGCATAATTCAGTAGTGTGGAAGGGGTTGGGTGCAACTCTACTGTATGGTGTGGTTGGGAGGGAATGGTCTGAATGGTGTCCATTTTTCAACACCTTTTCCTCACTTCAGTCTGAACAGAGCAAGCAAGCTGTTACCTGGGGAGATGGGAATGGCAGGCAGTATTGAAAAAAGTTACTGGATTAGCTATAGTGCCTGTGTGTGTCTGTGTGTCAAGGAGGAATTCTCCCGTATGCGAAGACAGGCTCTGGTGGATTGAGCTGATGAGACCAATAGTGGGTTCAGCAGCCAAGAAGGCAGTTTCTGCCACAGGAGACCCTTTATAGCTGGAAGTGTGAGGGCCTAGTCCTTGCTCCCTAGGTCAGCTGGAAAGGCCTTTAAGGGAACAGGCCCTGCAGTCCTCACCACAGCCAATGGTGGCCCTTGGGTTCTGTCAGGAGTCCCAGTTCCCAGCTTGATAACGCAGCCAGCGTAGTTAATTAAAAAGGAAGATTTATGGCAATAACAGTGTTCTCCAGATGACTCTACAGTGCCGCCATTCTCCACTAATCATGATGACCCTTCCAACTCCTTCCTGTGATGACGGAAGATATTGAACTTACTAACCCTAATTCTCTTGTTTTTCTTCCTATCTAACAACCCGCCCCTTGACCTATTCTCCACACTTATTGGCTTAGCTCAGCCTCTTCCTTTTCTGATTAACTACCCATGTTTCTGTTCGCTCCTGTTTGAAACTCCTGACAGCTTTGGCTAGGTTCCTGCCTGCGTGCAACATTATCAGTTGTCATTCCAACGGGCGGAGGAGTTGACCCTGGCCAAGGCTTCTCTTGTCTGTCATTTAACCCTCTCTCTTTGTAACTGCTTCCTTCACTGGGAGCTGGCTCATTCATGACACGTCCCTTCCAACTCTAAGATTCTATGATTTCAACAACAACAATGGAAAAAAGAACCATTCGTGCAATGCTGCTAAAAACGAAAATGCCTAAGTCAGGTGTTTACCATATAATATCAACTATGGGATGGTTGATGCTTGTTTGACTCAGCATTGCCAAAGGATAGAAAGAGCTACCAAATGGAATAGAAACAGTCTGTTTTTAATCTCCCTGCTGCTAAGCCCTCTCTGGCATGTTAGATGTTCAGAGAGAGCAATGTCCCATAACCTTCCAAACCAACAATCCCGGGATGGGAATCTGGATTTCCAGTGACTAGCAATAGAGATTTTAGCTGCTGCTTAGAACATAAATACAAGAGGATAGCGGTCAATGGTTGGCTTGTATTGCTTTCTAGAGAAAGTAATGCCAAATCTGGATCCATTGCCAAGGGCTGACCCACAATAATAGGAATTAGATTGCACACCTGGGTCCAGAAGTCATTGGGAATGCAGATACTGCCATGAAATCATTTAGTATCCTCTGCAAAGGAAAAGGGGCTTAGCTTGGATTGTGGAGCATCAGTAATATATAATCTGTGAAAATATTCAGTTTATGCTCATCTCCTTGAACCCGGATGTCTTCAGTACCCTTGTGAGATGTTAGGTTTTGTGAGATGGAACTTTCCCTGCCTTTTTGACAATGGGTGTAGCTTACCACAGAGCCATTTGTCCTGTACGCTATTTTTATTTATTAAACAATATTCACACCACTTAATCAGGAAGACCTTACTGTACTTTACACCGAAACAATATGTAATATTCATCATGATAAAATAAAAATTGAAAATCAAGTAGACACAATAAAATGTATCGATATAGAGATGAAGTCAACAGTTTTAGGGGGGGAATACACCCAATAAAATTACATGCATTGTTAATTATTACTTGTAGATTCTAACAACTCCCATTGATAATAAGATGGTTGATTTATTTTACGTTTTGAAACACCATGGAGATGATATCTAGTGGGATTTATAAAGTTGTTTACATCATTCCATGCTCAATAAAACTATATAATACCATATAATATCAACTAAACATACGGAGAACTTCTCCATAGAGAATGCAGATACTGCCATGAAATCATTTAGTATCCTCTGCAAAGGAAAAGGGGCTTAGCTTGGATTGTGGAGCATCAGTAATGTATAATCTGTGAAAATATTCAGTTTATGTTCATCTCCTTGAACCCTGATGTCTTCAGTACCTTTGTGAGATGTTAGGTTTTGTGAGATGGAACTTTCCCTGCCTTTTTGACAATGGGTGTGGCTTACCCCAGAGCCATTTGCGTGCTGAGGTCCCCCAAAACACCCTTACCCCAATAACTCACACATCACACATAATTTTTGTTTAAGGTTTTTGGCATATTTTTGGCCACAACTTTATTAGCATACAAATTGTGAGTGGTTGCTTAGGCATTGGTTATGACTATCTGTCCCCCCCCCCCCACCTTGGGGACAGCACTGGCTCCCGGATTCCAGCGAAAGCCAGTGTGGAGGAACAAGTTCAGGGATAACTGGAGCTGCGACACAGACCCTCAGCTTCTCCCCGCATGCTCCTAGGGGCTTACATGGCCCAAACCCGATTCCAGGGGTTTGGACGAAAGGATGGTAAGCCCCTGAATTCCTTTAACGGAATTCCCGTGCAGCAACAGCATTGGAGGGGCAGGCACAGCCAATCCATACCCCTCCACCAACCAATTTAAACCAATGCCTGACCGCCACTCGAGCCCTTACGCTCGCCGCCAACCACTCACAGACTCAAACACACCCTCAACTTATCCACCACCGAATTTAACCAAACATCATTCCCAACTGATGACAGATGAACCCCATCCATCATAAAGAATTCAGCGGCTTTGAACGTAATTAGAGGGTGTGGAATCACAAACCCACCCAAATCGACCACCAACTTGCTCACCGCGGAATTAATCCGCTTTCTAACCCGTTCAGTGGCCGCCGAACAGGGACTACCCCGCCAATTGCGGCGTTGAACAACTGTGACCAAATTATTTTAGTTGCCAGCACCATGGCCGCGAATTCCCTCAAATCTTCCAACATAACAGCACGCAGGACATAACAGGAAGAGGAAACCATATCATTTCCCCCGAGCTGAACCACAATCGCCGTAGGAGGGCCTTCCATGAGAACACGCCTCTGCATAAGCGGTAGAAGCTCCTTCCACAGCATCCCCCTTCTGGAGATCCAGGACACCCGCACGTGCTGCGAAAGGCCAAGGCCATCACCCACTCCGGACTGTCGAGCTCTGCTAGCAGCCCAGTGTACAATACTGTGCCCCACAATCCAGATGCGTATAGCTGCTGGACCTAGGGTAAAAACAAGAAACGTAAGCACGTGAAATCACATCATTTCCGTACATAACCTCTGTACGCATCAGACCTCCACCGGCCCAGGTCCTTAATCCTCTCCACCGATAAACCCAAGTGAGCAGCAGTCGTTGCAGCCCCAATCCGAGAGGAATGAGGAGCAAACTCAGAAGCCGCAAGGCCGCAGGCAGCAATAACCTTGCGCAACACCTTGGTGACCTGGTGACGGGCCCACGGATGCCCATTCTCATGAATAAACAAAGGGCCCTCACCTGGTGGTCGTAAGGCCAGGTACTTCTGGAGATCCTTGACCGGGCAAGGGCCCCCTTCCCCAGTTGCCGGGAGCCGAATCACTGCTTCCTTTCCCTGTTGATCAGTTTTATTTATTTTTTTAAAGATATTTATTAAGATTTTACAGAATAAAAAACGAAAAAAGAAAAATACAAAATAAAAATAGTTAAAAAACAATTCCATCTTTCCATCACTTATTTTTCATTTGCTTGTTTCCCAGACCTCCTCACACCTCCCTTTTTGTATTCCAATTCAATTTATTAGTTCAGCAAATCCTTTCCCTCTTTGTTTATCCTAGTCTTTAATCTTAAAATATTATAATATTAAATTTTTACCTGTTAATACTCCATTTTTTCATATTCCTTAT